GGCCACAGACGCGGCTCCCGGCTGCCAGCGGACCCTGGGCAACGCAGACCCTCCGTCCCGCGTGGTCGGCTTCAGGAAGCGGTGGCTCTGAGCCCACGGCCCGTCCGTCGCCCAAAGGGATCTGGCGTCCGGCGCGGACATCGCGGGCGACTTCGAACAGGACCGTCCCCAACCGACCTCCCCGTGGCCAGCACTGTCCCGCGACGCGGGGGCCCCGCGCGGGGCTGGGGCGGGAGGGGGCGTGCGGCTGCCCACTGTACATTCGGGGGTGGTCGCCCTGGCGAGAGGGCGACCGGCCAGGGTCTCGCCGTCCCTCGAGCAGGATTAGCCTTCGAAGGGGATGGGGCTCCATTGACAGACTCTTGCCTGGAAGCTGTCTGGGGAGGGGGTGAGAGGGGCTGAGCTCAGTTATCAGACGCGGCGCTCATCTTGCCCCTGAAACCGGCTGGCCCCAAGGGGCCCTTTAACTACGACTGGGTCCCCGGTCCCCGCGCCACTCTCTCGGTCCCACCCGGAGTTACTGTGACAGCCTGGTTACTAACGCGCCCTCTCCCTTTTTCTGTTGCTCGGAGCCCCGGGTGGCGGTGACAGCCCTGGGCAGGTCTCCCCTCCGCGCTCGGCGCGGGCTGTGCGAGGCGGGGCGCTCGCACGGTGGCGCTAGGGACGCGCAGACCCGGGCAGCCGAGGACCGCCTCTGCAGTCCCGCGAAAGGCCCGGCCTCCGCTCTCCGCCGGCTCTAGGGCAGCACCCCGCGGCGGCCAGGGTGCCTAAGCCCGCCTGCACTTGAAGGCGCGACAGTGGCTCAGCACCGTCGGAGCGCGGCGGGGTTCCCGGGTCAAGGTGATATCGCTCGGGCCTTTGGGTGGAAAGGCGACGACAGAGACTTTGACGGTCGACTGGAGGACGTGGGCTTTCTCCCCGACGGCAGGCACGGAGAAGGGTGATGCCTACGAATTAGAAACCTCTGGGTGGTGAGAACCAAGGTGGAGGCAGTGTGGGAGAGGACAGGGGCCGCGTCAAGATGCCCAGGCTTCCGAACCAGCTGGGCACACTGACACCCTGATCTGGGCACTGGCGATGGAGAAGTCCGGGATTAAATGGGGCTTGGCAGCGCTTGGCTGGGTGAACCTAGCCAAAAGGGTGGGGGTCCTCTCTGGGCCCTTTTCCTCATATGTAAAAGGGACACCCCTTCTATGGGGGTGAGAAAGGGATATCTCATAAGCCTTAGTACAAGCATCAGGCATGGAACAAGCCCACCGAACTGCCAAAGTAAAAACAAAAGAAAGAAATCAGCGCCTCCCTGGTGATGCAGGAGTTAAGACTGCAGGGTCAAGACAGCAGCAGCCACTGCAGCAGAGTTGGATAGGCATGGGGTAGGCACGGGGCGGGCACGGGGTATGCAGGGGGTGGGCATGGGGTGGGAGCTGATCCACACAGAGGGAGCAGCAGAGGCTCCAGTCTCACCTGCTGCTCACCTGAGCAGTGAATTTCCTTAGATCTGTCAGTTCTGTCCCCCACTCTGTCTCTGGTGAATCCTCACTCCTGCACCTCTGGCCTGCACCCCAGTTCACCTATGCATAAATAAATCATTTTTTAAAAAAAGAATCACTAAAAATAATGTTCATGCTGGCTTCCAGGGCTGGTTCATCTTTCTGGAAAGCAAATGACAAGTTCATTACTCAAACTCTAATGTGTTCTGTCCTTTGACCTGGTGACCCCCACTTGTAGGAATCTAGCCCAAGAAAATAATCAGAAACAAGACAAAAGCCAGCAGCAACATTATTTATAATTGCTGCTGGAAAATGATCAATTTTTAGGAAACAGCTAAGTAAACCACAGTGCCTACCTCTTAAGGAACAGCACACAGCCCTCAGATATTATTTTTTCAAAGGATATTTAAACACAGTATGATATGGGCTCCGCAGATTACAAAATTGTACACGCCTTAAGATCTTAGTTTTGGAAACCTCAGTATATGTGTGTGTAGAGGCTAAAGAGGGGTTTTCACTTTCTCTCCCTTCCTGTAAGTAGCTCTGATTGGTTTAGATGACTGTAATGGGGAGGGGATGACCTTTGTTTTAAGATTTATTTTTTTATTTTTGCATACAAGAACTGGGGTACAGGCCAGAGGTGCAGGGGTTAAAAGCGTTCACCAGAGACCAAGTGGGGAGCAGAACAGGCAGATCCACTGAAACGCACTGTTGCGGGGAGCAGCAGGGAGACAGGAAAGGTCTCTTGTGCCCTGTGGGTCACCTCCCGGGTAGGGCATCGAACAATTAGCTTCACAGTGCTGTGCTTTAACCTGTTGAGCCCCCAGAGAGGGCCCGAGCCCCCCTTTTCTCCTGAAATGTGCATCATGCAAACCTCATGCTCAGGTGACTGTCCAGACTGTTCTGCTCCAGGAACCTCCCTGTCCTCCTCACCTATGATATCACATAATGGGATGATGATAGCTTGGAATATATTTTAATACTGACCTTGTTGTGCTTTATTAAAAAATTACTTGCTGACGCTTGATCTTGCCTTTTATTTTTCATGTAAATTACAGTACGGTTTTTTCAAACCATTTCTCCCCGCCCTGAATCCACATTCTAGCGGGAAAAGCCCCAACCCTTATCAAGCTCATTCCCCCTCCCACCCCTCCGCCAAGTCTCATGGAGGTCTGGCATTAAGAGGCTACCAACCAATAATCTGCTGAAGAATGAATGAAGGAACGAATGAATCCACAGTCAGACCCTGGGAACAGACACATCCCATAACCTCTGTGCGCTTGTTTCCTCATCTGTCAAAGGCAGGAGTGGTAATACAAACTTCCCCTGCAGAAGGCACAATCTCTCAGCAGTAACCTGGCAGTGAATGTTTCTGTCGGTCATTGGCTCAGCACAGCTGGTCATTGAAGCTTTGGGAACTGCAGAGAAACTGCTCCTTCTTTGGTGTTCAAGGTTCACATCAAAGCCACTTACCTGTAAGACTCATTGACTTCACTGATTCTCAGGACCCCCACTTCTCAGTATCTGGGGAGACCCCTCGGCAGTGCCCCTTCCCATGTCAGCCTTCTCTATGCCTTGCGGGAAACTGAGGCCAAGGTAGAAGTCATGTTCATTTCCTTTCTGATTCCTTCTGATACTTCTGAAGTTTCCTCAGCCAGGGAGATGAACCCCTCTGCATACACCCCACCTTATTCACCCATTCTTCAAGAAAGCACAGCCTCTTTTAGCAGACCTGGGAAGAAAACCAAGGCACTGCCAAACCGTGAACAACTATACAGCTGTCAAAAAGAACATTCCCAGTCAGTGTGCTCTTACAGTGAGAGGCAACCATGCACAGTCACTGAAGAGGCCAGTGATAGACACCAGAGCTTCTCCAACTTTGAAGTGTACAAGAATCGCCAGGGCTTATGGCTCTTGTTTAAGGAAGGCGGTGATCCAGCAGGTCTTGAGTGGGGCCTGAGAATCTGCATTTCCAACAAACCCCAGATGCTACCCAGGCTTCTGGTCTGGCATCAGAGATACAGTAGGACAAGGTACAGAGCCCCTTCCTGTACAGGCAAAATGAAACAAAGTGAATCCATGTAGAAAGACAAGTCAGAGGGTAGCCCTTGGCTACTTCTGGGTGGGAAGATGGCCCCAAACTCAAGTGCTTGTGTAAATTTTCATCATTGGTGTCTCTATGGTAATTAGGGAGCCATGGTGCCTTTCTGAGCAGATGTTTGTAAATCACACACACATCACCCTCCCCAATTTAATGGCTGTACTCCAGCTTCCCTGCCCTTCCCACGCTGGAACCTGGCGCCATAAGGGCTAGTCGGGAGTGGGGCTCATGATGTGAGTCTTACGTAGCCGATGCCCCAGTGACCCGGAGGGCTGTTATTATCAGCTTCTTCACAGCCACAGCCTCCTGAGCACCAGACCAGGGCCAGGTCTTCCATGGACACTCCAATTTATTCATGCCCCCACTGTCCAGATTAGGGGGCTGAGTCTCAGAGCTGTGGCCGTGGAGAGTCCTGGCCAGGCTCCTGCGGAAGGACCTCCTTATTTCCCTCTGCCTAACTAGCAAGTTTGTCTGCTAGATGTTCACAAGGGTGGGGGGGGGCTATCTCACTTCTTTCAGTTCTTTGCTCCAGTTTTTTTTTTTTTTAAAGATTTATTTATGCATACAGAACTGGGGAACAAGCCAGAGGTGCAGGGGTGGTGAGAGGATTCACCAGAGACAGAGTGGGGAGCAAAGCAGGCAGATAGACGCAGTACACTGCTGAGGGGAGCAGCGAGCAAGACAGGAGAGGTCTGCCGCGTCATGTGGGTCACCTCTGGGGCCGGGGATCGAACGTGCACTCAAGTGGCTGAGGCCAGCTTACAGTGCTATGTCCCAACCAGTTGCGCCACCAGGGGGGCCCCTGTGCTCCAGTTTCCAGCTTACCAGATTCTTCTTTGACACAGTCCTTTGCATGTCCACCTCCTCCTCGCCATCTGAAGGGTCACTGACCTGTGTCTCATGCCTTCGGGTGGATAGGACTTTGTCCATTTTGCTCGCCCGCCGCCTCATCTCTGGAGCCTAGCGAGATCTGGCTCGGTGCATTAGCTGGGTGAGTGAATAGCAATCTCCAAGTCACAGGCCACTGCTTTCCTAGCAGTGTCCCCACACAGGGACATGACCCTTGACCCACGAGAGCACAGGGCAGGCTGGCCTCCCTGTCTTAGTCT